TTAAATTTTCCCTAAGGAGAATGTGGAAGAAAGTTGAAAGTGAAGACAGTTTAAGAGTAAGGTGATGAGGGTAATCAAACAAGTTAGGTAAAGAAAAACTGGATACCCAATAGAGAAGGGAGTATGCAAGAAGTGAATGTGTTCAGATATTTGGAGTAGCTTGTCAGCAGAGGGGTTTATGAAGGATGAGATAAACTATAGAACTGATGGGGGGAAAAAAGGTGGGTGTACAACAAGTCATCTGTGGAGACAAAGAACATTATCCATGGAGGCAAAGATGGGAATGAATGAAAGTATACTGGTAATCAAACTCTTAAGCTAAGATAAGATAAGATTTCAATTCAGATTTTTAACCCAGGGGGTTAGCCACCCAGCATAACCCAAGAAAGTAAGTGCGTCATCTGGGACTGCTAACTTTTTTCCTTTGGGGGTCCTCAATCTTGTCCCCAGGATGCGACCCACACCAGTCAACTAAACCCAGGTACCTATTAGCTGCTAGGTGAACAGGACAACAGTGTGAATCATGGTTGTGAATGCTGCAGCAAAAAGGGAGGCTGGAGACAGTGGAGATGTCATGTCTAAGGGCATTGTGTTGCGTAAAAAATTGTGAAGAGAATTCATAGTGTGAAAATAGGAGGGGTGCAGAATTACTAAAAGTTATTATCACAGAGCTGAGGAGGGGTTACTGGGGGGTTTGGTCATTTAGAGAGGAGGGGAGCAGCATAGGATACTTGGAGGGTGATAAATCTGTAGTGGGGGGGAGGAGGGATAGAGCCATCCTAGGAAAGGATGGGGGGAGAAGGTAAAAGAGGTTTTGTGTGCAAGGCTTGGACATACATTAGGCATGTGTGAGCATGTTAATGGGAGTGGACACAAGGGTTTTGGGACTTGATGAGATAAATGTTGGAGTGGAGCAGGGTAATATTTTGTGAGAGGATTCAGGGAAACTAAATTAGCTGGATTTGAGTCCTGGAGGTGGAAAGTACAATACCTGCACTTTAAAGGACGGATTTGAGATATTTACTGTTTAGAGTAACATCTAAACTGTAGTATCTGCACGCTTCTACAAAGATAGTGATTTTTGTGAACAATAATGAAAGTCCTTTTTTTTGGGTCACCCTGTCTAGGTGGGAAAATGGCCAGTGTTAAAAAAAAATTTTACTTAACTCTTTTACTGTCTCCCATGAAGATCTACATTATGAGGATCAGGCAGGACTACAAAGAGACCTGGACAGGCTGAACACGTGGTCCAGCAATTGACTTCTCAGATTCAACCCCGTCAAATGCAAAGTCATGAAGATTGGGGAAGGACAAAGAAGACTGCAGACAGAGTATAAGCTAGGTGGCCAAAGACTGCAAACCTCACTCAAAGAGAAAGATTTTGGAGTGACCATAACACCGAGCATGTCTCCGGAAGCACACATCAACCAGATAACTCCTGCAGCATATGGACGCTTGGCAAACCTAAGAATAGCGTTCCGTTACCTTAGTAAGGTATCATTCAAGACTACACTGTGTACGTCAGGCCCATACTAGAGTATGCAGCACCAGTTTGGAACCCGCACCTGGTCAAACATATCAAGAAATTAGAAAAAGTACAAAGATTTGTGACAATGTTATTTCCGGACTCAGGGGAAGGCTAAAAAAAGGTTTAAAGGGGAAATCGACCTACGACACAGGGGACGGGAGGGGTCAGGGGAGTCATGATAACGACATACAAAATACTGCATGGAATAGATAAGATGGACAGAGACAGATGCTGGCATCACTGTACACTGCTCATGCAAGAGCCACTCGCTGCTTCTGGCCCCCACTAACATTAATTCCCTAAAGAGAATATGGGAAGAAAATTGAAAGCAAACACAGATAACAGTAATGTGTAGAGTATAAAAACAAGTTAGGTAAAGAAAAACTGGATATCAACAGAGGAGGGAGTATGCAAGAAGTGAATGTGTTCAGATATTTGGGAGTAGGCTTGTAAGCAGATGGGTTTATGTAGGATAAGGTAAACTACAGAAGTGATAAAGGAAAAAAGGTGGGTGGTACAACAAGTCATCTGTGGCGACAAAGAACATTTCCCCTGGGGGCAAAGATGGGAATGAATGAAAGATAGGGTTTTTCAATACCTTATATGGGTTTTGAAGCATGGGTTGTGAAGCTTCAGCAAGGAGGAGGGTGGAGACAGTGGAGATGTCATTCTGAGGGCACTATGGGCATAAAAATTATAAAAAAATTCATAGGTGGAAATTAGGAGGTGCAGATTACAAAAAACATTATTTTAGAGCTGAGGGGGGGTTCTGAGGAGGTTTTGGGCATTTAGAGAGATGGACAGCATAGGATGACTTTGAGGGGTATAAAAAACTGTAGTGGGGGGGAGGGGGTAAGATCATCCAAAGGGAAAAGGGTGGTGGGAGGAGGGAAAAGAGGTTTTGTGGCAAAGGGCTTAACAACAGAAGGATGTTGAGCAGTTTAATTTGGGGTGGTGGAGACAATGTTTTCGGGGCTTGACGAGAAGATGTTGGGGTGTGAGCAGGGTAAAAATTTTGTGATAGGTTCAGGGGAAAAGGTACTGGATTTGAGTCCTGGAGGTGATTGATTTAGATTTAAAATTTGCCACCGAAGTGGCTAGTTTTTTTTGTCCACCCCATATCCATCCTGTGGGCGACCAAGATATATACACAAAAAGGCCTAGGGAAATACCCCCAAAGGTTAACAGAAACATATGGGTTTATATCTACATATCTATATTTCACTTACTGTTACAAGCAAATTTAGGAAATTTCTTTTGTATATCTGGTATCTTTTTTTCATTAAAAAATATCTTGACATGTCACATAGTTATTAACTGTCTGTCTCTAAAACCTCAATAGTGGACAATGGTTATTATACTGTCTGTCTCTGTATTCCCAAAAATGGACAATTAACACTAGTGTTCAAAGAGTGACCATACCTGATCACAAATTTACTTTGTTTGATCACATCTTTTTCTCCAAAAAAAAGCAAGAATACTTTAACCAAGCCTAACCTGGCCCTACAACATCATCAGTCGTTCCATTGCATTTTTCTCCCATAAACATATTTATTACGTTCATGTTATCAAAAGGGGTTATAGATCACTCAGGTTTCTAACTGAATTCCATAACAATCATTTCCATTATTTATTTCTCTCCTAATATTATTCCAAATGCTAGACACAGTATACCAAAATTTTATATTCTACATTCCCTTCTGGGTAAACTCTTTTTGGGCTAACAAAAACTTTATTAAAAGGGATAACCAAGTTATGGATTCATAGAAAATTGTACTTTAAATTCCTTTTCCCAAATTTTTGAGTATCTATCCCTTTGGCTTCTCCAATGAGCATGTTGTTGGAGTCAATAGAGCAAAGCCTTCAATGAGACATAAACAGAAATGATGAAGAAAAGCTCATGTCTAGGTTAGCTTTAGCGCCATTGGATTGCAAACAATTCATTTTTGCAGTGTAGACCCCTTTTGTTAATTCTTATCCCAAACTTAAAAAAAATTTATTATCGTTTTTAACTAGGGGGGTGGCAACAAGAGCAATGCAGCCCCCAAAGACCCTGTTAGATCCATCATGTAATAATTTGGATAATTATTACTACCAGCTAGGGAAATTTTTTTCTTGAGCAGTTGCTCTAAAAAGGGAATTTAAGGAAGGGTTTACTACAAATGACTTTTTGGGGAGGGACTTGCAGGTATGTGATATAAAGAACACATCTTCCACGGAGGGATAAAAATGCTCTTTTTCCCTACAGTATATATTCATCAGTTATAAAACTTAATGAAATTTTGCATTTTTTCACAACCTTTAATCTGTGTTATTTACCTCTAACCGGGAAAGATTCATTGTGACAGTGTCTGTTCATTTCTAAACTTCAATCCCGGGTACAGTTTTAAAACTCAAAAAATCCTATCACTGAAACTAAAAACCAAGCTCCTTCCTCATTTAAATTTTTGTAGATCTGGGCAGCCAAGAATAATCCTGAGAGCTTCATTTTGCTTTAAAACCCTCCAAGGGTCGGAGAAATTTTCTCTATAATATCAACAGGGGAGCAGCATAATCAATTGGGACTTTAAAAAGGGCCCTATGTACATCATTCTCACGATTCTCACATTAGCCCCTATTGGGGTTTGCGGGCCAGCAACATTTTAGAGCATTTAGCCAGCTTGCATTTCTTTTTTTTTGGTAATGGATTGTTAAAGGGTACATCCCCCAAGATATCTGTAAGTTTTAACGAGCTAAGTTTTTCCACCCTGCAAATAGATGGGGTGGGGGATGTCGTTTGCTTTTAATATTTTTTGGGTTTAAGGGGAAGATTTTAGGGGCCCTATCGATTAAAAAAATTTCTTGAACTTCATTAAGGAGTTTTCATCTCTTACCCTGTTGTAGGATCAGATGTCATCAGCAAGCTTAAGCTAATTTTTTAGGTGGGGGCAGGTAGAGCTTTTAGGAGACATTAATCGAATATTAAATAGCGGGACAAAGAACTCCCCCTGGGTGTACCCAAAGCATTTCTTTAGAAACACTTTTGAAGCCCTTTGGGAAAGACAGAGAAACTCTATTTTACAGTATCCTATTATCCAGCAGAGTAAAACACCACCAATATTCATTTTGGCTAGTTCATGTAGTATAACGGTTTCTGTTCGCAATATCAAAAGCAGATTTTAATCAAAAAAAGTGGGAAAACATAGAGGGGTTGCAGTGAGAAAAAGGGGGAAATACAGTTTTTGCACACTTTTACCTTTCAAACCCATAGAGGGAGAGGGAAAGTTGGTGTCTGTTCTGTATACACTGTTAAGATCATTCTTTCAAAAGTTTTCAAAACAACTATTTAAAGGGATCGGCCTAAATGTATCAGGGTGTTGGGGCTTAGGGAAAACCCCCAAAGTAATGAGTTATACAGTGCCAACAAAGGGTTATCAGGCACTGCCTTAGAGTTCTGAGAATACTAGGTTTTACATCCTCTCCAGGAGCATTGATCGACCTTTATTAATGCATTATCAATTCATACTTGGTAAAAGGCAATCACTCTCATCAATTTTTTTTGGCTCAAAAAATTAATCATTTTAACATTTCTTCAGAAGTACCCCCCAAAAATTTTTTTTAATATAAAGGAAAAATTTTTATGCCTTTGGTTTTTGGGCCAGCATTTTTGAGGCATTTGCTTTTTCAAGAGGAAAGGGATGAGCAACATTGCCAGTCTTTTTTCCTGGTTTTTTTAATTATACCTTTCCCAAACCCAAAATTAAAGGGGGGGACCCATTTTAAACCACTAACAAACTGTTCCCATTCCGTTGCCTAATTCCTCTTTCTATTCCCCTTTCATTTGTTATGCACTTTGGAACGTTCTGAGCAGGGGCGGGGGGTTTACATTCACGTATCTTAACCAATCCCCTACTGCAGTGTTAGATTGCAAGCTGGTACATTATTATTTACATTGGTTTTTATTTTTATTTAAAGTGAGGGCTTTGTTTCCTATTCCCCGCCCACTTGACTTTGAGAACCCTCAATATGTAATTTTAAAACTATTAAATTTTGTGTGCAAGGGTCGTAAATTTTTTACCATTGATCCAAGTGGTTAAAAATTTTTTTCTCTTGTTCTGGTTTAGAATAAGTTTCCTCCCTTTTTTTTAGCCCTTTTATTCTGGAGACGTATCAAGATTTACAGTTTTAGTCTTGGGAAGTGATCAATAGAAATCATCAAATAGACAGAGTCATGCACGTATAGATGAAAATTAAATCCAAGACACAGATCTAGTAAAAGCCCCCTTTTTGTGAGTAGGCCAGTAGTGCCCACAAATTTGAACATTACATGCCATTTTGCAATTTCACTAGTTTAGTTTTTCCCTTTGGGGTTTTTTTTATGACCCACCAATATTCTTTTGCTGGCATTAAAAACTCCAAGAATGATAGTAGGTTCACTATTGATGCGATCTGGTAAAACACAGGTCGAAGCTTGGGGTTTGCTGGGCAAGAGATTAAAAAGTTTATGGAAAAATCCCTGCATATACTTTGAACCATGATACTGCAGTTAAATTTGACTCTGCAAGGAAAGGAGGAATGTGGGAAATTCTTTCTGACATACATCACACAAAAGTTGTTGACCTTGGTCATGTTAGGTTGCTTTAGGGTTGGGGATACAAAACTCTAGCAACCAAAATTTAAGCAAGAAGCCTGGTAGGCCTACCTCCAAAACAGGGCTGTGTGGGCGTGTGTCAATATACCAAAAAATGGAGCCCTGCAGTGCACTGTGGGGAATGCTATCTTCAAATTCAAATTTATTTTTTCTTTGAAAAAACTGAATTAAAAAAAAAAGTATTACAATAATGGGTTGCGTAAAAAAGCCACATATGCCTACATTATGGGCTACTTTAATTTTTAAAGGGTTCTGACTACTTTAACATAAAAAAATTTATCATGTTTACATTATTTTTTATTTTAAATTTTAATGAATTTAATTTATAAAACCAAAGGGTATTTCATATTTTCTAAAAAAGTTTTTTTTTGAAACATGATTCAATTATATTTCCCGTTTTACAATACAATAGGTTCGAAAGTAAATACTGAAATTATATTAGGGAAAATAACACGTGTTTCTAAAATATTTACAGTATAAATGCTACAATTTTGGGGAAAGGGGAATACTGTTTTTTTAGGATGTAACTTCTGTGGTAATTTGTCAAAGGAACTCGGTCGCTAGTCTTAAAATTTTAAAATTTTGTTAATGGAATTTATTGGGAAGTTAAATATTGAGCATTTATATTTAGTCTAGGGTGATTTAAACCCCTTTAAAATTCCAAACTAA